TCACACCTAGGGGATGGTGTGTTGCGGGTAGGAAGTCACCATGCAGCAGTTCACACCTAGGGGAGGTGTCACTATGTAGACAATCACTCTTACAGGGTGAAATATGGTGGTTTTGCTTTATATCATTGAGGGTGAGAAGTGTTACTTAGATAAATTATTTGAAATTTCTTTATGTAGGGCATTTGTCTATTCTCTATTTTTTTATTTCAATTATTTTGATAAGTATTTAACCAAAGACTGATTTTGTTGCTGAAACGTTTGAGAACCCTTGCGTTTGGCTCTGTGCTCTTGATACCTCTCAGTGTGTTTATTCTGAGCACTCCATTACTTCTTGGGCACCAAGACTCACATGTAACCCCCGACCCAGTGTGACCTAGAGTGACTTATTTCTCCAAGGAGTCTTGATCTTTTTATTAGAAAGTGGAATCATACATGACTTAGTGTGCTTGCTGCTTCTAGAGCTGTTGTTGCTTCCAAGCTCTGTCAGAGAAATGTATATTACCAACCTTCTTATACGCGTATGTATGACTATCTCTCTATAAAGTTATCTCAGTCTGTGTTATACTAAATAAACCTGGAGGAACTTCCCTCCCTGTGATTCTTGTACAGCATGTGACCCGCCTGGGGTGGTTCTAGGTACAACATGTGACCCGCCTGGGGTGGTTCTAGGTACAGCATGTGACCCGCCTGGGGTGGTTCTCAGTCAGCATGTAGCCTCCTGGGGTGGTTCTTGTACAGCATGGTACCCTCCTGCGGGTCCCTGAGTAGGTGTGAAGTTCTGAGTCTGGGGCAGTCTGGTCCTTTCCCTCCATGTGGCTGCTCCTACCCAGCTGCCTGATCCTAGGGCTGGCGTGGTCCCTGGACTACTACTGTTCAGGAGGTGCCGACCTACTGTCCCGCCACATCTTCACCTATAGCCTTGCTCATTTGGTTATCTTGCTGTCCTTCTTTTTCAGAAGTGCGTTACAGAAGAGTGTTTCTTTTTTGAACGACTGGAATCTAATAACTACAATACTTACCGGTCAAGGAAATACTCCGGTTGGTATGTGGCACTGAAACGAACTGGGCAGTATAAACTCGGATCCAAAACGGGACCTGGGCAGAAGGCCATACTGTTTCTCCCGATGTCTGCTAAAAGCTGATTCACTTTAGAAACTGTTAACGAGAGACACGAATGTACGCAACTAAGTTTGGACGCCTGGATAAAAACTCATTATGTAACAGTAAGACACTTAACCGTTACCTCAGTAAAGAAAAGCAACAATTTTTGGAAAAAGTTTAGAATTCTCCCTTTTATAGCTTTGGTTGTGACCCAGTGATGATTAGAGCCACAATATTTTTCACTTATTTTCTTGATTAGAAAAGAGGATTTAAAACTATGTGCATTTACAAATTTCCATCATGGAAATCATGTATGTGAGAAAGCTGGTGCCGGGTATTAGCCGCAGACCGTGTCCACCTTTGGCTCACTCATCTGTCCCCGCTGTGGCTGTGTAACTCTCCGGCAGCTCCCTGTGATAGAGTTTGTAGAACAGGCCTGTGTACACTGCCGGGAGTTCCTCCATGCTGAGGTCAATTTTGTCAAACCCTTCCCTGTGTCCGTACAGCAATAGCCTAGCTACCCGGCTGGTGATGGGGGTTGTGTTTTTAGTCCTGGCCAGGTTTTCTAGATCCATCCATTCACACGTCAAGCATTCCTGCTGGCAGAAGTTGATAGTGAAGGAACACGGCTGCAGGCGGCAGATCAGGTACATGTCTGACTTCCCGAAGGCTCCAGGGTGCCTGTGCTGCTGCCGGATGCTCAGCAGAGACCTGAATTCTGACTTCACCCCAGTCTCTTCAAACACCTCTCGGACTGCCGTGTCACCTACGTGAAAGAGAGGAACAAACAGAGATTTCGTTCCTAGAGATGCTGTCAAAGGTTTTCAGTGAAAATCTGGAAGGTTAAAAGCAAAACTTTGTCTTCAAACTGCTTTCTTGATGTTGTGAGATGTACTTTGTATTTAAGACGCCTTTAAGACACTGAGGGTCTCCTTGGAGGCTATGCATGCGTTACCACATCTTCTTAACCTCTTCCTGCTCTGTTTCCCAAAGGCAAGAAGACACTTGCAAACACAGTGGCAGTTACCGTTCTGCTAAATCCTTCAGGAATCTGTAGTGCTGAGTGTACTTGAGTGAGCTGTGAATTGACTCTGACTTGTTTGTGGTCTAAGCCCACTGCTCCACAGGGCAAGGCCCTTCACCATGGTTATGCCCCCTCCTAGCCGCCGGTGGAGCCTTGCCTGATTTGGAAACTGCTTTCTCTTGAGATCAGATTCCAGAGAACTTGGGATTCAACCCCTCAACACCAAAATGCAATAGATGTTTAAACAAACATTTTCATAAGGCTAGAAATACACATAATTTTATAATACAACAAGGGTTTTTACATTTTGTAAATATTTTTAATTGAATATAAATTTCCATGGCAGGACTTTTATTGCCATTAACATAGGTTTATGTCCAGTTTATCTAGACACCCAGGAAGACTGCCTGAATGGACTTTACTAGTTCTGATGCTCCCTGCCCTAATTGTTTTTCTGGTACTCTTTAGAATTATTATAGATTGTATAACACCTTCTAATGCCTTGCTGGATGTTCACCAAGTAGCATATAAGTTTGTCTTGCCAGTAATTCTACTGATAATGTCGATGCAATGAAGAGCGATCAAAAGCACATAGTTCCTATGCACACAAACCATAGACTGTCTTCCCTGCCCCTGGACACATACCCACCCCTAAGACATGCTCTTGTTTCTAAGAAACAGTCCTAGAAAGGCTCACAGGAACAATAACTTAGTCTAAAACACAAGACATCTACCCACCATTCTTTAATTATATACTACCTTCCCCCATGACTGAGATTTGTCCATAGGTTAAGCATGGTCAGAAACTGCATTTCATAACTGAAAGCACAAAGACAAGGCACACAGCTCACCATGTAGATACCTGCTTCGGTATGTGTGAGATGCTGGGTTCGGTTCCTGGTACCACATAATGAGAGGGAGGGAACAGTGGCATCAAAGAACATTCTAGGCTCACAAAGTCTCTGGTAAGAAAATAGTTTTCATCCAGCATACAATACATTATTAAATTTATTATTAAAATTGTGGCACTAGTCTTAAATGTTTATATAGTGGCTTCTAACTCTTGTTTAAATATATATAGTCTTTAATATGCATATATTTACATATATACATGTGTGTATGTATGTATGTATGTATTCTTTAAATGCTCTGGAAAATAACCTTGGGGATCCTGCTCATTTCTTAGCACCACTAATCTGACCAGCTGTCTGTAAATGACAGAAACAGGACAGGGTAAATAGGAGAATGGGAGTCCTGCTTAGCAGTCACTACAGTGCATGGTGGCGACAGGATAGACACTGCTTGGGTAGTTTAACTTGAATCAGTTAAGTTGAATCACCAACTAGCCGAAACCAGAAAATGCAAGCCAGTACTTTTGTTTCTGAGATGTGGGACATCCTCCCCTTACACTTCAAAATGGAAGCCTCCCTCTCAGTTTCAACGTGAATTTAAATTTATCAGGATAAACTGTTGTTTCTTTCCAATTATTTTTAACAGACTCTAAACTCAGCTGAAATAACAGTTACTGTGTGTGAAGAATCTAGAAGCTCATTTTTGCTGCGGAAGAGGTACATGTTTGACTGTCAGACTGGTTCCAATTTCTCCTGTTTTGTAGGAGGTAATGAAAGATGTCTTGAGATGGTCTAAGTGATGGGAAACTTTCAGCATGTGGGTCTCTTTGAGCTCTCTTGGGCCCTGCTGAACATCTCTGGTTAGCTGAAGCAGAATTTGTTTTTCACCCATGGTTAATACTATATTTTAGGAAGGCATTTTGTTCCTTTGAACTGTATAAGACACCTTTAGACTCTATACTTAAGGACTTCGATTTGTTTTGCATTTTCCCAATTCAATTTCTTAAAAAACTCTTGGCATATCAATGTTTTACCTACCTACCATTATCAGAGAATGAAAGATTCCAAACAAATGAGTTCCCAAATGAACTAGCATTTATTTACTGGTATTTAACTGACTAATTAACAAACAGTAAATATTGAACTGTTCAGAATGGCAGCATTCCAAAAGGGCAGTTCATGCTTTCCTAAACAGAGGTTCCAAGAATCTAATCTCCAGGTGGTCTAAACAATCTGACCTCTTCATTAGAGTACTTGTACTTTGTCCTGGAGATCAGTAGAAACAGGCTGTAGAAGAGAGTTCCAAGGCTACGGTGAATACCACCTTCAGCTTTAGTTTTAGTTCAGATAAGTTATTTTGTTAACCGCAGATACTTAAAGAAACTAGTAGGACATTTAAAATGATTTAGGCTTAAAGGTAAGACTCTGGAATTATACTTAAACCTGAATTTATACATACTTAACTTGAAAATGTGTTTTTTCATTTACATCTAAGTCTGTCTGAAATTCTTAGGATCTACTGGAGTTCAAAGGAAAAAAAAACCCACCTCAATTCATTTGAAAAGGCATGTCCCAGGAAGGAAAGGCACATGGGGCAGCAGACGGCTTCCCCTCTGTGCAGGGTGAGAAAGCTAGACTTGAGTTACCTTGTTCACACACACTAACATACCACATAGGCAATGGGAGAAAATGAAGAAGGTGGCCTTACAGAAAAATGGCTTTGGCTCTCAGTATTTGGCACCCCTACAAAATACAGATATTTTTGAAGACATGGTCTAAGTAGCACAGGGTGGCCTGACACACCATCCTCCTGCCTCAACCTCCTTAGTACTAGCCTAAATAGGCATGTGCCATCACGCCAAGATCCCCAGAGTACACGATGTCAATAGACTGCCCGCAAGAGAACTCAGCAGTCAATGAGAATCTAAAACCAAGGTTTGTTTCACATATCTGAATGTCATCAACGTGCTTATGGGTTGTTAGGAGCTGGCCATGTAAATACATACAGGGCATTTGAATCTATGTAACGTGTAAACTCAGACTCCATGAACATACACTCAAATGTAAACATACGCAGGAGACTGCTCCATACAGTGCTGGTTAAAGAGAAATGAGGAATGTGCATGTTAAAGGAAAGATCTTTGAGAAATAATATTAATATCTAATATATTATTTGTTGATCAGGATAATACTGAACTTAACCTAATGGTTTAAGGAACAGCCTAATTCTATACTTTGTAGATCAGTGACTGAGTCCTTAGCTTCCGTCCTATCTCCCTATAAGCTGATTTGGTGGGAGGGGAGATACGTCATTTCTCACTTGAGATTCCTCATAAGGTATTTTATTATGTTTTAGATTATTCATAAATAGTTGTCAAAATTTTTAAAAGAGAATTGTATCACTATTTCCTTCTAGCTGGCTTTATTATATTTCAAGTTCATTTTTAAATTATTATTTACCCATATGTGTCCATAATGTTGTCAAGAATTCAAAATATAATAATTTTAGCCCTATTTGAAAAAGCTTTATAATGAACTTTATTGACAAACGTCTCAAGTTGCTCCTTCCCCGATGGCCCCAGAGCACCCTGGACAGGGTGTTAACGCTCCCCTAGGGCTGACTTGTGCCAGAAAACTCACGCTCACTGTGCATCAGCACTCAAGAAATCTGCCTAAAATTTTCTGACTTGGTCTGATCCAATTAGAAAATTTAAACTCTTATTCTTAGCTACAAAGCAGGAAAGGAAACATACAAATTTTCCGAACATTTTCAATCATATCAGGAATATATAAATACATACCGATATCTTCTCCGGGCTCTGACAGGCCTCCTGGAAACTTCCACATATTTTTCAACTGCAGTACAAAGTAAACAAATAGCTCATGACATGATTCGTTCTCATTCTCTCCTGCCTCTCTCTGCCGGCTTCTACTCTAGTCCCCCCGCAGCTGGTTACGGTGGTAAAACCTTGTCTATTTTACCCCATTTCCCCAGCTTTCTTACTGCTGCATTTTTTCTCGTCTGAGGATGATGGCGGTTGATGAACTCTTTTCCTCTTACTCTTCAGGAAGCAGAAGTGGTGTTATTCAGCTAATGTGATAACCTTGTATTACTGAACCTTTGGAGGGAAATATCTATTGATTTGTGTACTTTACAGAACTTGGCTGCTAGTTGAATATGAACAATAGGATCTTACAGATGCTGCTATAAGTAGAGTACAGAATAAATGTAACCACCAAGGTTTGCTACTCTAGACTTTTACATGCATTTACTGTATCTGTTTCTGTTCAGAGATTACTTAAGACTTCTGCGTGTTAATAGTTTTATGTAAAATGTTATTGCTTTTTATGAGTAGTGTGAATAAAGTTACTTTGGTTTCTTGACTATCATTTCTTTGTGTTTTTCTAATTTTTTTTTTTTTTTTTGGTGGGAGGATGCTAAGGAGGTACCTGCTCTCGAGAAGCAATAAGGACAGAGTGAGATAATTATGAGCTGGCACCAGACAGTTTACTCAAGGCTGACATGATTTGTCTCCTTGTAGAATTCTGCTGTAAGTGTTCATCATACAATAAATCTCAAGAATGAAGTGACCTCATAAACCAGCAGATTTCATACTCTTCATACGTAAAACCTTTGTGGACCTTCCACTGTACGCTGTGCCCTCTGGCTTCCTGGAAGTGTGTTTCTGTGAGACTCACAATCACCTCTATCTCTGGCTTGTGGGAATCTGATGCCTTCTTTGACCTTTGACCTCTTCAGGCGCCCTCATCCATGTGGCACACACACGCACACACACACACACGGAGGGAGGGAGGGAGGGAAGGAAAGAGAGAGAGAGAGAGAGAGAGAGAGAGAACCCATAAATAAAAATTAAAAATAATTTTTTAAAAATTTAAAGGATAGAAAAAATAAACTGAGAAATTAGAATTGACTGTGTGAAGGCAGAGTTCAACCAGTGGCTGTCACACTGGATGCCACGCAGAACCATCACTGTGGTCAGGAATGCTGGCGGTGGGATTTGACCTGAGAGACCAGCAACAGTCCATAAAGGTCAAAGGGGGAGTCCAGGCTACTAGAAGCATCAAAGATTAAGAGAACACAATTAGAAATGTTTTCATGGGCTGGAGAGTTGGCTCAGTGGGTAAGAGCACCGGCTGCTCTTCCAGAGGACCCAAGTTCAATTCCCAGCACCCACGTGGCAGTTCACAATTGTCTGTAATTCCAATTCCAGGGACTCTGACACCTTCACACCAATGCACATAAATTAAAGTTAAATAAATAATCAAAAAAAAGAAATGCTTTCACGCTTGGCATTGATGTCAGTGATGCTGGGAATCAAGTTGGGGCCAGTGCTGCCTCTGAGCCACAGCCAGCCCAGCGAGAGCATTAACTTCACACTTTCTGATGCTTCCTTAAATACTGCTGGACAAAATTAAACATTTTCCTTATTATATATACTTACAGCATTGTAATTTCTCAGAAATGCTATCTGAAATTATTCTAAGTAACTTATGAGACTTAAAGTCACATCTCTGGCCCAAACAACACTTTCTACCACCAACATAAACTTACGCAGTTCCTAAGGTAGTACTGGACCTAGCCTTTAGTAAGGTTTATGTTTGGGTTGGACATAAATATATCCATTTAATGGTAATGACTAGAGAGCAGGGAATGTGATTTGACAGACGTGGTAGGACCCATGTGTGGGATCCTGGGAGCCAGACATGGGTTTAGGTTTGAAATGCAAATCGTAGACACTGACAGTCTTTGCTGTGAGGACAGGATGACGGTGTATGGGCAGCCAATGTTGTAATAATACCAAGTTCTTAAGTGCCCTATTGCATCGTTCATTCTTATTACAGATATGAGTTTCCAGAAAAGCAAAGCTTCCAGAATCATTTCAAAGTGTGACCCAAAAGACAATGTATCCTTGCAGATGTGGGAGATCTCTGTGCTAGCAAAGTGAGGCATAGCATGCTTCATAAGTTCATGTCAGGCCAGAGCTGGACACAGAAGGATGGAAAGCCTGGATCGTGTACCGAGTAAGAAATTCTACCAGTCTGAGTTTGAAATGTCACATCCTCTGAAGCATCTCTGGAGGCTCTTACGGCAAATAATCCATTCTACAACTGTCTAGACATTGATCTGCAGGGCTGTCAGGATGGCATGTCCCCAATCTCTGTCCTCGCCATACTGGGGGCAGAGCGCCTGGCAATGCTCAGGATGCTCCCTCAGTAATGGGTCTTCCCAGTTAAACACTGTCAGCTATGATATCCTATAGTCATGTGTAAGCATGACACTGAGGATCTCACTGGCAGTTACAGGCCTCTATCTCGACTCGATTTAAATATCTAATGTGGAGGGCCGGACCACATTCTCCATTGCTTCTAGGAACAAAGGTAGAGATTGACCTCTGTGACCCCAAGGTGTGGCGGTACACGCCTTTAGTCCTGATGCCTGGGCGGCAGAGGCAGATTGACCTCTGTGACCTCAAGGCGTGGTAGTATACGCCTTTGGTCCCAATGCCTGGGAGGCAGAGACAGGCAGATCTCTGTGAGTTCAAGGTGATGTAGCGCACGCCTTTAATCCCAGCGCACGTGCTTGTAACTCTCTACCGCTGCGTCCCTGCCTACTCCCAAGGCATCATCTGGGATAATGGGCAGTGGACCAATCCAAGAGTGACTCGTCAGAAGCGAGGACTGTTTCCTTTATAAGGGCTGGGTTCCCCTCATTCGGGGTCTCCCCCATGTAAGCTTATGCTCTCCCTCTCAAGACGCATAAAGCTTTACTGCAGAAGAATCCTAAGTGTCCCGCGTCGTTCTTGCGGGCGAGACGGTAGCGCGGGACAATCTAAGTGTTCCATAACTGCTCACAAATAACTATTAAAGTATCTTTCAGCATTCCTTTAGCCAGCTCAACATTTCTTCTACATGATCTTTTTCCCTAGGGAGAATATCTAGAAAGCAATCTACAAGGCAGGAACAACTTACTTTATTTCGATCTTGTACAACCAGCACTTTTCTGGTGCTATCATCAAACACAGCACCTTTGGGGGAAAAATAATTGCAAAACATTAATTCCATTCACCTTCAACTCCTCCCATAGTCACTTGTGGTCATTAGACTCCCACCCATATTTGAAGGTCCAGATACCTCAACCAAGAAGACTGTAAAACACTTCTCCGCTAAGGAGAGCATTGCTCAGTTGACCAGTTTTCTTTCTTTTTCTCTTCTCTCCTCCTTTCTCCCTTTTTGTTTTCTTTCCTTCCTGCCCTCAACAATTTGGAATTCCCAGAGTAGTTACAGCCTATGTTAAACTTGTACTAGAATCATCTGCATAACTTTTACTATAGAATGTCTATGTCTCATGAACATCTTTTTCATACTTTAATAATTTTCTTTGGTGTTCAAACGGTTGTGAGACACCATCTATTGATTGTTTAGAATTTTCTCTGCCTCACAAATCTAGAAGCTAAGAAGTCCAGGATCAAAATGCCGATACATGTAGTGTCTCGGAAGGGCTGCTCCGCATAGAGAGCCCCCACAGGGGGACGGGGCTCTAATGCCTTGCTGAAGTTCTGCCCACGGGACCTAGCCATCTGTGCAGGCCTCACCTATTCATGCACCACCTGGGGGCTGGGTCTCTAACCTGACACAAGCATTCATCCCTCAGGACTCAGAGCACTGAAGACACAACTGTACTTCTTGCTCTAATTCTTACTCCTGAAGCACAGTGCAGGCCTCTGCTTCCTGAGAGAGATCCCGACTATCTTGATATTCATCAAGACCTGTCTGAGGCCAGTTCCGTTTCCTTACTGTGTGCGCATATATTTTATAGCCCACTCATACATGGAAAGCTTTACTCTCTATGTGCTCTAAGTTCCAATCCAGCCCTTTCATTCACCCATTCATCATGCACACTTCTCAGTACACTGTGGACTTTACTAGATGTTAGGACCCAAACCAAATATTTCTTTAGTATTTAAATACTTCTTCCCTTTTTATTTTATTTGTATGGGTGTTTTGCCTGCATGTATGTCTGTACCATGTGCATGCAGTACCTAAGGAGGCCAGAGAGGGCGGTGGATACCCTAGGACTGGAGTTACAGAGTATTGTGAGTTACCCTGTATGTGTCAGGAATCGAACTCAGATCCTCTGGAGGAGCACCAAGCGCTTTTAACTGCTGAGCCATCTCTCCAGCCCCTGTTTTTAGTATTTTTTATTTGGGAAATCCTGGGTCAAAACCATAAATAACACTTTAATGATCTGTACTAGATTTCTTGACATGGGCTAAGTTAACCATATCCATATGTGAAGGCATTTTCTATATACTTACCCATTCTTTCAACATTCATTGAGTCACAGACAGAAGTCCTTTGTGCATTAACTGAGCTCCTGTTATGCAGGAGGCATTTTACCAGGTGCTGGGGATACAGTGGTAAACACGGAACACCTCCTGACCCTGACCTCACAGTCTGCTGTGTGTGTGGAGGGGAGACAAACTGAAGGTAAGCTACACAGACTGTCAGAGAGGCCACGCTTGTGAAGGAGCAAGCTTGTTTGTAACTAAGCGCCAGAGAGATGCTCAGAGGTTAAGAACCTATACCGTCCTTGCAGAGGCCCCGAGTTCAGTTCGCAGCACTCATTTCAGATGCCTTACAACTACTTGTAACTCCGGTTCCCGGGATCTGATGCCCTTCCCTGGTCTCTAAGGGTATCTGCTCACACATGGCAGACATGAAAACACACACATGCTATGAATAAAATTTATTTTAAAAATTCAACGTTAAAAAAAATACCTGAAATGAAACACTGTACTTGGTACTTGGAGGCAGGAAAGGACACCAGTAATTGTAATTAACTCCAGTGAGGGAGGGGTCGTAAGATGCAAGTCTAATTGGATTTCTCAAGGGTTAGAATGCCAAGAAACCTATTTTTAGATCTGAAGATTTTGTGATTCCCTAGCATCTCTTTTCTTTAATGTGTTCACTAACATCATAAATATAGAGTGAGAAGATATTAAGCACAATTGGAGCGGCCCCTGCTGGTCACAGGACAAAGCTTAAAGCAACACAAGACTGGGATTAAACAGAAATTCCTTTCTAGAACATTAGATAGACATTGTGTAGCTCCTGTGCAGTAGCTCAGGCATCTGTCATACAGTCACATGAGTGTCCTAAGAAGAGACCAAGTTCACACAGCCATCTGTGGGAGAGCTGGGCTTAATAGTCACGCTTCATTTCAAGTGGGCACTCTTATGGACAGCAACTGTTCTGTACTTAACGATGTCATCATCCATCCATCCATCCATCCATCCATCCATCCAGCATCCTTATACCTACCCACCCATCTATCCATCCAGCCATTCACTCATCTACTCATCCATCAATCGACCATCCATTATTCATCCTTACACCCACCCACCCATCTATCCATCCACTCATCCATCACCCACCCACCCACCCATCTATCCATCCACTCATCCATCATCCCTCTATCTATCTATCCTTCCATCCATCCATCCACCATCCATCATCCTTACACCCACCATCCATTATTCATCCTTACACCCACCCACCCACCTACCCATCCATCCACCCACCCACCCTTACACCCACCCATCCATCCACCTGTAGGTACCGAGGTCTTTTTCCCTTTTCTTTCTTGGCATTTCCCAGGGCTGTTTGACCTCTGGCCCCTGGAGATTCTGCACTAGCACTGGCTTGAGGGTAGCTTAGAAAGAACTTGGCTGTCTTTGTTATGGTAATTCCACCTGTAAACAAGGTTGCAGCTGCGGGGGCCCTACACGCCTCCCACGCCTCCCACGCCTGCCTCCCCCCCTCCCCCTGTAGCTGATTCTGCCTGAGGCGCTGGGAATGTATCAATCTATTCTACTGCTCCTGATGGGAGGGGGCCATGCCCTTTTGAACCCTCTTGCCTCCTGGTATAAATATCCGACTTGAGTTTAATAAAGGGCTTTTTTGCTCTTTGGCAAGCGAGCAGGTCTCTTGTGTTTGTCTGTTTAAACCCTTAGGACAATCGTCCATTCTCGTGGCCCTGGTTCAGGAAAGCGCGCTCCTGGATTAGGCCTGGGTATCCACAGAAAGTGCGGAGGCTAACATCCACCCACTTACCTATCCATCCACCCACCTACCTATCCATCCACTCACCCACCCATCTATCCATCCACTCATCCATCAATCTATCTATCCTTCCATCCATCCACCATCCATCATCCTTACACCCACCCACCCACCCACCCATCCATCTATCCATCATTCATGGTATACTACTTTGTACGTGGCTCTGTATTAACTTGAAGAAACAATGGTGAACAAAATGTCTGGCTTCAGGAAGTTTGCATATTGTTGAGGATAGTAAGTACATATATAACTTTGGGTTGCATTGGATGGTATAAAGAGAAACAGATCTGGATAAAGTGTCATAGACTGGTGGAATAGGCATGGAGGAGGTCCCTATCTTAGATAGGAAATTTGAGAGCTTTCCTGAAGTCAGCAAAATGCTTCCAATGCAAGTACAGGGAGCTGGGTCCAGATCCTTAGCTTCAGGCACAGTGCATCTGTAGACCCAGTGCTAGAAGGTGGAAGATCCTCTTGGCTTGCGACCTCACCAGCCTAGCCAAATCAGTTGTTCTTGGTTATAAAACACAAGGCAGATGGCACCCAAGGTGGCCTACACACACACATACACACACACACACACACACACACACACACACACACGGCTCTGCATGACTTCCAAGGAAGCATCAGCCTATCACCAAATGACTGGGTAGAATCCTCTGAGGTAGAGCCCACGGAAAGTTTCTGAATGTCTACTTGCTGCAGGGGAAGAAGGCTACAGCTAGAGTATATAGTACTGGACATTCTCACCAGCTCACTTACAATACTTTTGATATGCAAACCAGCCTAAGACCACATACAGATTACATGCAAAACCCAGATTACTAAGGTAATCATTAACCTGCATTGTTCTTTCATTTATTTAAGAATTCCTTTCTATTTTTTTTCTGGAAACCTAAGAATTCCCTTAATCATGGTCACAAAGGATGGTCCTGAGAGCTGCAGCAACAACAGCCGGCGCAGAGAAATCAGCAGGAGTCAGGATCTTGGGGATGGAGGTAGCCGCTCATTTTGGCAAACCCTCTAGGCGATTTCAATGCTGTTGGCAATGAGACTTTGCTGTTCTGAAGCCAGTGGGGAGTTCAAGACTCTACACTAGTTATATTGTTCTCTCAAACCACTACCATTCGGCACAAAAACAATGTCAAAGTGTTAGGATGTAACAGTCAAACAACTGCCTGGCCTCAAGCTCTACCTAGAAGTTATCCTGCATAACTTTACACATTTAGTGTATATTTAATATTAGGATGTGTGAAACAACCATGAACTTTGTCATAATCAAAATGGGGTTCCTTGTGACAATCCTAACAAAAGGAAATAAAGCTGGGAGATTAGGCAGAAAAGTTCTTAGTATGAATGCCTGATAGTAACGACTACAAAGGACTGCAGGAACCAGAGCTGGCTGAAGCCAGCGCAAAGAGCGCTCCATGTGGACACGCTCAGTCTTTGACTGATGCCACCATTATCCTTACTGTCTGTGTGCAGGAATTACTGTTTTAAGTACCTGCTCTAATAGTCTCAATTTTATCTTTTTCCCCCCAGGGTATGAGACTCTGGCCATGATGCTACAATACATCTCTACTTGGCTCCTAGAGAGAAGCAGTGGGTTAGGAGGGAGCAGCTGCTAAGCCAGGATGGTACATGGGCCAAGTTCCAGTTGACAGCTGTCTTGACTGTGCCTACCTCCAGAGAGGCCCATAAAGTGATACCATGGCCAAGACACCATGCATATGTGAGAAGACAGACCTAACCCCTGCCCTGTTTCTCTGGCTATCCCGGGTAGGGAAATCTGGCTTCTTGCTGTCACCCTGCTCCCCACCTTCCAGTCAGAGCATGGGAAAGGTAGGTCATATCCACTAGGAAGACAGAGCAGATGGCTCTGAGTGTGTGTGTGTGTGTGTGTGTGTGTGTGTGTGTTCTGAGCACGCCCGTGTCTCAAAGAACCCAAGGACACTGAGCCCAGCATCCTGGCTGAAAGAATATCTCATGTACTACAAACATATAATGCAAGGAAGACCTGGGAGATTGTGATTCTGGGTTTAAAGATTTGCAAAGCAGGGTTCAGGCACTGTTAAACAAAACATTCATACACAAAAATAAATCTGAGGGCTGAAGAGAAGGGTCAATTGTGAGATTACTGTTGTTCTTGCAAAGGACCTAAGGTTAGTTCCCAGAACCCACATGGGGACTCACAACTGCCAGGAACTCTAGTTCCATATGATCTGACACCCTCTTCTGTCCTCTGCCAGCTTCAGACATGCATGTGGTGTGCTTACATGCATACTGTAAAACACTCATACACATAAAAACAACTGGCTGGGTGTGGTGGCACACGCCTTCAATCCCAACACCCTGGAAACATAGGCAGGAGGATGCTGTGGGATGGAGGCTAGCCTGACAGACATAGCGAGTTTCAAGCCAGCCAGGGTAACACAGACCTTGTCTCAAAAAAATGTGTAATTGAAAAGGAGGCCAAGGGCTGGAGAGATGGCTCAGAGGTTAAGAGCACTCCTTGCTCTTCCAGAACCCGAGTTCAATTCCCTCAATTTTATCTTTTAAAACTTATTCTTGCCTCCTTGAAGATGCTCCAAATTTACTATGACACGTATGTTCTACTGAAATACACTTGAATCACACAAAAAAAGTTACTTTCTGGAGAATATCATTGTTTATTTGGGGTGACATATGCTTTATTTCCTTATCCCAATTCACTGCCACCCCTGAGAAGTGGCATTCAGTCATCTGTATGGAGCATGCTAACTGTGGCCTTTGGGAAGCCCGCTCCTCCCCTCGTTCTGTGTGCCACCCTGTGACTCACAGGACAGACAGCCTTTATTGTTTTAAAAGCACGATGCCACAGTCACACAGTGCTCACTGAACCAGCATCCACAGACAAACTCGCAGCTAAGCTGCCAGAAGACATGGTAAACCTATGAAAAGGTATTTCTGGTCGGCGAGGCTCTGAAACTGACCTGCAACCCCTACTTGGTGTGTAGCGTATCCTGGCAGTCTGCTGGGTCCTTCTCCCAGCCAGAGGGTCAGCGTGGAGGAATCGGATTCTGCGTGGTGGAAGTGAAAGCCCAGGGAAGCGGCAGGGGCGATGAGGTGGCTCTGCAGGATGGGGACGTGCAGCCATGCAGCTACCCTTCCTTCAGATCGCCACCGTTGGACGGCAGCTAGAACGGAGAGGGAGGAAGACAATCTGTAAATCTTTTCTGGGACATGAGCAGTCATGTCTCTCTGCATTACTACAGCCCAGTTATGCGATTCTTCTTCGCCCATCACCGTGCTGGTGTTTATAACCATACCTCCTAAGTACAGGTCAGCACACAACAGGCGTTCAGTCATCATAGAGTGGACAAAGGAACTGACTTCAAATAAATACGGGCTTGATGCTTTCCTAGTTTCTTCTTCCCAGTGTTGGGGATCAAAGCTGGGGTTCTGCATGTGCGACAGGGCATGCCACCACTGAGCCACATCTCCAGCCCATTCTGTTTCTTTCAATGCCCTTAATTTTAACATTCATAATGATAATGAATTTTTTAACCCTTCCTGTAAACCTTTTTGGTTTACAAACTGCAAGGTGGTTAAAAATAGAAGTAAAAAAAAAGTCAGAATTCCCTATTACTAGCCTGAAGAAGCTTTTAAGTTCTTTTTCTTGTGATTTTTGACTTTCACATAATGTCTATAGCTTATATTATGCCCTTTATAATACGTTACATAGTAAGCAGTCTATCCATACAATTCCTACAGTGGAAGTGGATTTCTCAACAGCAGCAGCTTCCCTCATGTATCCTACATTCTACCCAGCTAACTTTTACTCTCTTTATTATAAACACCATTCTGAATATAGATAGGTTTTCTATCTTAGAAATCTTTAAATTTTTTTTTATTTTCCTGTGGGATTAAGCCAGGAGTAGCGGCGGGGAGGGCCTCACTTACTTGAGCCTTAGGTGTCTCAGATGCTTAACGTCACCCAAGAGCTCAGACCTTGAAAGACAGGTAACTTGTTGGTGGGGAAATCCCACGTCACAGCTGAGACCTCAGCAAAGCCTCTCAATCACTGACCACTCCCCCACCCTTCATCCCACCCTCTCTACTTGTTCCCAGGTATGTCATTATCCATTTCCTGGTCACCTGCCTTTCTCTTCTCTTCCTTGGCCTTGCTTATGCAAGCTCCTCCCTGCTAAGGACCATGGGCTCACCCTCTCTGGAGGTCCATTTTCCTAACAGTGTGACAAGTTGTTGGTCCTTAAAGAGACTTCTTGATTTGATCCAGCATGAACTGTAGCTATAGAATCAGATTCAGATTCTTCTACCTTGTTTTCTCTAACTGAATCCTTTTTAGTTGAGGTATAATGACAAAGAGCAAGGTGCATTTGAAGAATTCTGACCTCTGCAGATACCATAACCAACATCTCCATTGAGAACATTTCTACCATACAGTCGTGTCCCCCACTTCTCCACCCCCCCACCCCGTGCTCCTTCCCAGGCAATCCTTCCAACCAAATGAAAAGGCTACCTTCTAAAGCTGTGGCTTTTGATTTTCCCTTTAAACTTCACCTTGGACCATCTGTGTTACCACTGCTTCAACTAAAATATGAGGCTGCCCAGTTCTGGCCTCGCTTAAGTCTTAACTTTTTCTCTCCACTTGTTACCTCAAACCATCTCAAAACTGAACCCAGTGCCCACGGAGCTTTGTTCAGAGGCCTGTTCATGCTCATTCCTCACAGCAGACTTGGAAATCTCAGACCACGTCCTGTCAAGAATGCTGTCCTTCCTTTCTTTCCCCCTCTAAGAGGCGTGGCTCCTCCCTGCATCTCCGCATCTTGTACCTGTTCCTGGCAGCCCAGCTCCTGTATGACTTCTCCAACAAGTCTTTCTTAACCACTCCGCAGGTGTTACTATTGCGTGAACTGGAAAACACATTCTGTCTGTGTGGCTCGCTAGAATGTATTGCACACCACCTAACCTGCGTGCTAGCTTTCTATTTCTAGTTAAAATGTCATGAACTTGCAATCCTCGAAGCAGAAGCAGGGCTATTTCACCACCACTGCAAATCGTATGCGATGCCAGGCATGATAATTACTTCTGTAATCCTGGTGCTCTGGAAGCAGAGGTAGGAGGGTCATCAGAGCATAGGCAGTTTGAGCTACCGATAACATATACCTGCCTCAAAACTCCTCTGCCAAGGAATAGTCTACGTAGGGCTATAATATATAGGGTTATAGCACACTATAATCCTAACATCTGAGCTGTCCGTAACAAAACAGCAGTGATGGAATAGCGACCTTCTCGTGCAAACATGCTTTAGCAGCCATCACTAACACAATGCTGAGTCTCCTCCAAGAGACAGGCATCCTATTGGGCTTTCTTCTCTGATTAGTTCTTCTTTACAGGCACTGCCGGTTAGCTCTGTATGACTCCATCACAACAAACTACAAGTAACTCATAGAGCAGCGTGGAGAAAACATAGACCCAGAGCCAGGGGAAGGTACACACTGCCTCCGTGCCTTGGCGCCGTCATCAACTGGGATGAGCATGTACGCTTCAGGTTATGAAGATGAAATGAACTCCTATTTGTTAGAGTCTTAAAACGATAATTATAGTGAAATGTTTTATTAAAGAAATGCAGAAAAATTGTACTTCATAGCTGAGGGATTTCAGTCAGGGTGTCTTTTGATCATCCGTACCCAGTAACTAGGGCTGGCTAGCGTTATTCACTAAGAAGTCTTTCCAGCGGTCATCTGATTAGTGCCTGGGAAAGCTCGTGGAACAATCTGGGACTTAAACACTGGACATGTTTCCAAATCCAGCCCACTTTCTGGAGTGGTGCTTGTTAGCACTGGTCACCGGCACTACAAATCCAGCGGATGCATGGATCTGATTCTCCTACTGGGGCTTCTCAGCACTTACTAGCAGGAGAGAAGATGATGTGAAGCAGACTGGTTTGACGAGGAAGGTGACACAGCATTAGAGATGCTCACTTGCCATGCTGCTCACAGGGTAAGGTTCATCTGTGGTTGCCTGGCTGTGTGCAAAAAAAACCTTTCCATAGCCGAACTTCCATATTGTGTTTTCAGTTTGAAAAACAGACTGCTCGGGGCTGGAGAGATGGCTCAGTGGTTAACAGCATTGACTGTTCTTCCAAAGGACCTGAGTTCAATTCCCAGCAACCATATGGTGGCTCACGACCATCTGTAATGAGATCTGGCGCCCTCTTCTGGCCTGCAGGCATACATGAAGGCAGAATGTTGTATACATAATAAATAAATATTAAAAAAAGAAAAACAGAGTGCTCGAATAAACCACACTTATCCCAAAGTTAGGGCTCCATCACTCAAGCTTCCTTTCAGCTACTTGGGCTCATCATATGTTCCTATCGGAAACGGCAAAGCTCTGCGGGTAGAAACAAGCACTGGTTCTTGACCTGTCAGCTCCTATCTACCCCGACTGGGAGACGGTTTTGCCTAGCAAAGACCGTGACAGAATCTAAGTGCCAGCAAAACTAAGGATGCAAGGTATTAAACAGTGAGCTTATCAGCATTTACTGAGAGTTAAAAGTGTGGGTGCAGCGAACCAGCGACAATCGCAAGGACGAGGACCCAGGGTTTAGACCCGGACGTGGCTGAGGGAACTTCCAGGTCACAGCTAGAGGACCGCGGGGTGTCCTTTCAGCATTCACTTCAGAGCCCGCACGCTCCGCCCTAGTTTCCGGGGCCCGAGACCCGCACTTGCCCTGCAAGAGCCTCCGGAAGGCGGCAGCGTCCACCCCATGCAGCGCGCGGTGCCGCGCCAGATGCACCGAGACGCCCCCAAATCTGTCCAGCTCGCCTTGCAGCTCGCCCTCGACTCGCGGGTTGCCTGAAGCTGCGCGCGCCCCTGCTCGGAGCCAAGCTAAGCCGGCGCGGAGCAGCGGCGACCGCCAGCAGCCGGCTCCCTGCAGCCACCTCATTGCTGCGCCTAACCCGTCCGACGCTCGTGACGTACGCCTCAGCCCCGCCCGCCCCGCCCACGCCCGCTTCGTCCCGCCCACGCCCATCTCGCCGAGCCACGCTAACCTCTCATCGTCCCGCCCACGCCTCCTGGCTCTCCCCCGCAGTCTGTCCGCGAAACGCCCCGCCCCCTCCCGCCCCCTCTTCGTCGTCCGGCACAGTCTCCCCTCTTCTTCCGGCGATCGCCCCGCCCCATCTCGCCGCGGCGTCTTCCGGCGCTCGCTCCGCCCCTCTCGCCGGGAGGAGGGCTGACCGTAAACTCTAGAAAAGTGTCGCCACCGGCCGAGACTGAGCCGGGCTTCTCCTTCGGCGGACAGAGCTCGGCGGACTCGGCCGTGGAGTGTCTTCGGTGGCTCCGGACATAGGGGAGAAATTTTCGTGAGTTTTTTTGGCTACTTTAAGCCAGCCGACACTTGCTTCGGGTCTCGGCAAAGCGGCGGAGCATCCGCAGTCCGCTTCTCAGGGGTTCATAGCGTCAGCGAAGGTTCCCGTTCCACGCCCGTCGTCCTTTACGAAAGCGTCACGAGAGCCCCTCTCTCACCGCCTCAGACTCGCGGGCTGCGCTCTACGTGGAGCATTACGGACGAGCGCGCCGAGCCGCTGACCTCTGACCCGGAAGTTTTCTCCCCGAGCCGCGCACGTTGAGCCGGCTTTGGCTCGGGTTTGTTACCGACAGCCTGCGGTCATGTCTTCCAAGAAGAACCGAAAGCGGCAGAAGGAGGGCGCCGAGGGCACGTCGCCTTCGCTGTCTGCTGCTTCGTCTCGCTCGGGGACGCCGGGTCCACTGGCCCGGCCTGACGTGGCGGCGCCGGGAATGCTGGTGGTGACCAACTTCCTCGAGAAAGGTGAGGAAAGCGCGGGCAGCGGCGAGGCTGAGGCGCCCGAGGGCGGTGCGGCGTGTGCAGGTGGGCGTGTCCCGGGAGCCCGCGGGCGACGGCGAGCCCGGCCGCTCCGACGCTCTTTGCACAATATTCCGAATTTTCCTCTTACTATTCGTCCTTCGTCTGCTTCCTCGGGCAGCGGCACCGGAGAGCGAGTCCCTGGGCCTTGCCGAGCGAGACTGGCAGCTCCGCTGTGGCCGCGCTCGACATGGCCTCGGCTGCTTGGAGAGTTTACTGCCCAGCTAACCCTACAGAAATGGTTCTTACTCAGCAGGCTGACGCTAAAAAGCCAGATAGCGGTTTTTGATGGGGAATTGGTGCTGCCGAGCAGACAGCGTCGTGACTTTAGGAAGGACGGGGGTTTCTTCATTGCCCACGCAGGTTCTGATATCTAGTTGTTGCTGTTGGTGAATTGCACACTAGTGGTCAGTGTCCCACGCACGAGCTCATCCAGTTTTCGCAGAAGCGCTGATGGATGAGCACGGAACGATGGCCGTTTTACAGAGTAGAGAAAGCTCACGGAGTTCCATCTGGGTTCCACAACTACTAGGGGCAGGGTCCATGTTTGAGTTCAGATAGATCTCTTTGATTCCAGAGCCGTAGTCTTAGATCAGTTTTGTTGACTTGGGTGAATGAACAGACTGAAAAGATCTGAAAAGTCAAAACTGGAGGAGACTGACTAGGAACATGGTTTTTATGTCCGGTAAGACTTTAAAGACAATCTTAGCGTTAGCATAGTGTTTTTATTCTGACATAGAAATTAGAATACAACTAGCTCTGTTCTGTAGGCTCGACCCTCCCCACTGTCATGTACATACGTTCATGTTTCTTCTAGTTCAAACCTCTGCGAAAGTTCCACGATTTCTCAGAACCTGCCACCACACTCTGCACACCTTTCTCACTGCCTGCTCATTAAATGGAGTGTTCTCTGCCTCCTTGTCAATCCCATTCTCCTGGTCCTATTTGACTTGCATGCCATCGTCCCTTGGGAACTGCTCTCTAATGGTCACAGCTCGTCTGTGTTGGCAAGTCGAGTGGACGGTTTTCAATACTTGCCTTTTGATGCCGGTAGCCTTTGGCATTGTAGGTCTTTTCCTCAAAGCACTTTGCTGCTTACTTTATCGTTAGACTTTCATAATTTTTCTCCATGTGCCTTGGTGATCATTTTCTTTGCAGGTTTAACCTC